ATCACAATCATGTTTCAAAATTTCCTGTTTATTATCAGATTCTAATGTTTTGTTTAAATTATCCATATTTTTCTTTATATTATGAAGCACAGCCATTATTTGTTGAAGCATATTATTAGTATTAGTACAATTCATATTGTTGCTACTATATACTATATATACTATATTATTAAGATCTCTACCTTGAATTGTCTTTCTCTGGTTATTCTCCATATTACTCAAAAATTATTAATAAAAATCTATACAATTAAAAAAAATTGTTTACTTGAGCTGTGATCTGATTGTCTTGACCTAACTTTTAAAGAATAAGGCCACGCATAGTTGAGCACCAAAATGTAACATCCCTCTTATATTTCACAAATAATAATAATAATATAATCGTGGAAGCTCACTTCTTACCATTGGGATACTTCATAAATAAATAAGAGGTTGTTTAATAATAAACAAAATTATAAGAGTATTAATATATTTATTTATCTCAGGTGTGGGTTATTGACAATCAGATCAACTCAGACAATTTTTCAAATCAAACAACAACAACAACTTTCCAGATGGTAATACTATTACTAGGTTTTTCCCACTGGAGCCAGAATAACTTTTCCTATCCTCTCTTCTCTACAGTCACACAACTGCTTGCCAAAACAAAAACCTTTGTCCCTCTCCTTTTTGGGATTTTCCTTCTTGGGAAACTACAGAACAGCCATTTTCTTTTCCCTGCACTTGTAGAACTAGATTAGCTTACCTTTTAATTGTTCAACATTAATTTATTAAAACCTTTTTACTCACTTCCAATAAAGGTGTACATTACAATATATTATTAAGACCATTTATTACTTGTTTCAAATAATTAAAATAAATAAATAAAAAAACATTAACAGCTTAAATCCATTACTAATTTGTTGTATTAAAGAACATAAGGGTTGGAAAAATTCGGTGAAATAATCCTTATGAAATGGTTTTTGTTCAATTTTCTTGTGAGCGAGCGAGTGAGTGTGTGTGTATCCTTAAACATTCATAAATTAGGAGACATAATAAATATTTAGGCCATTTATAAAGTAAAATGTGTGTTAGTTCATGTGGGCTATAATCTATTATAATTAAAAATAGACTGACTGGACGTGATTTTTATATATATATTTCAAAAAGAATTTATATGTGTCCAACATTATCTTTTACCCTTTAGATAACCTTCAGGATACTCTATGATAATTTGTTGTTTATACGTTTTTCTTGGAAAAGATAATTGAACTTTTAACAATCATTCAAAAGCAATATATCAGAAACAAATGTGGTGGTTATTAAATTTGTGAAAAAATTGGAGAAAAAACAGTTCAAGGCTTGTTAAACAGATTAGAAAAATGTTGAAATAAAATAAAAATATATATAAGATAAATGAAATAAATTATAACACTAGTTAAGATTTAGCATGTGTTCAAAATTAATCCAATAACTTTTTTTTTAAGTTTAAACTTTTAACTATCTTAATTACTTTTTTCTATGACATTTAATTAATTTTAAATGATTTATATCAAACAACAGTATTTTTAATATGTTTTCTCTGGGATGCACAGAAAGGGTTTTTATGGTACCGGTCGCACAATCAAAATTTTTGAGAGGGGTACAATTTTACAGGGTTATTAATTATTAAGGAAGGCACATAATTATGAGATTATGAATTTTGGGAGGGAACATTTTCTTGTGGGGTTTCAACTGGTAAGAACATTCAAACAAAGTGACAAAGGAAAATGGCTTAACTTTAAACTAGCTTAATTTTTGTAAACTAAGACGAAAACTATATATAAATTTCTCTCATGTTGAGAAGTAATCAGATTATTCTCAGATATATTCCCTTCTTAAATGAAATATATTGAAGTGAATGATAGTTGGGATGATCAGTCAAATTGAAATGGTAAAAAATAAATAGTTCAATTTATTTTTACATTTCCCAAAGTTTCCGCTGGAAGTTCAGGGCTTCCTTCATCAGGGCTGGAAAAATAACCAGATAACAATAGGTATAATAAAATTGAATAGAGATTTAAACCAAATATAATTTATTAACATTTACAGTTAAATTTAACGGTTAAATTTTTAAAGATTTTGTTCTATTTACAGTTATATGAAAAATTTGCTTTAAAATAATGGGATAATTATATATGCTTTGAAATTAAAGTATCTTCAAATTTATAGAAAACAAATTAATTTAATTTGTTTTTAAATATAAAAACAAATTAAAGTATCTTCAAAATAATCCAATAATTGTTCTGAATCTAAAAGAGTGAGATTATATATATATTTTCAATTTCTGCTTCAAGTAATTTTGAGAATGCTATATTTGCTAAAAGGCTTAAATAATCAAATATAATTTATTTATCAATTCTATAACAATTTATGTTAATTATTTCATCCTTAATATTACTGCAACAGATTTAATTTCATAATTAGCAAAATTAATTGAAAGAAACAGGCTTATTATATTTAAGTCATTCATATCACAAATTAAATATGGATTATGAAAAAATAAATAAATTATTATAAAAAATAATAGGTGGTTTCTTTTAAAGATCAATATTCTGCTATTAAATAAATTAAAAGAGAATAAATATACCTTAGAAGAACCATTATGTTGACTTTTTTCTTTGGTTTAAGTTCAATGACTTTATAATACAATGCCAATGGAATTTTTTAAATGACTACCTTATATGGTGACGATTATATGTCTTTTTGGTAAAAAACTATTAAACTAATTTATTATTGTATAATACATTGAACAAAAAAAAACAAAAAAAAACTGCAAATTATTACACAATGCTTTATTATTTCCAAACAACTATACATCATAAGTAGCATTACTTTTCTTATAACATGAAGGAAAATAAGTAAAAAGTGGTCCCTAATATTGGCTTAAATATTTTTTTTTTCATTATTAATAAATTACTAAGGAAATTATATAACACTGCTTCAGTTGATGTAAAACTTTCAAAAAATCAAAACAACAAATGATATAAGCTTTGCAGTAGAACATATTAAAATATTTAGAACCCCATATCTATGTATAACATTGTTTGATTTCAACGATATATATTTTTTTTTTAAATCTAGAAATTTTTTAAAAAACCCTGTACAACTTCCATATAAAAGTGTATACTGTTTGACTTATTCGAAAATCTAATTGTAACTTTTTTCCAGCTTCTTTTCGTTGAAGCATGTTAAATAAATAAATTTAAAGGGCACCTAGGAGAAGAATTTAGACATGTTTCAATAAAATCAATAAATTCTTTAGGGTGCTACAGTCTATACCAAAACAGGTTTTTCGGCCGCCTTCTTGAAAGGAAAGAGTGGATGACAATATCGATGAAGGAGGATCATCGTCAGATGACTTCTGACTGCACATTTCAATAAAATCGGTCCAGTAGTCTCAGAGAAAAGCCGCGAACGGCGGACAGACAAACAATTTTTTTTTCGAGTTCTGCGTATCGTGAAATGTAAAATCTCAAATTTTAAGGAGGAAGGTAGGGAGAAGAGTTAACTTTTTGAACGATTACAATGGTTAATTATTGAAAATGATGAACCAAAAAATAAAATAAAAATTATAATTGACTTGTAATTATAATATTTCTTTCTTATTTCAGCTTTCTCAATTTCTTCCCTCCTTCCTTTTCTCTGTTTTTAACTCTTTGTTATATTATAAATTGTCTGTACATCTTGATAGATTTTACAATATCTCAATTTTCTATCTAACTACTCCATTCTCAATGTCTTAATTTTACTATTTATTTTCATTTCTTATATAACTTCATATTTCTTTTTTATGTTTTACATTTTATTCTAAGATTCCCATTGTAACACTTATGTCACCCTTTTTGATTATGCCTACTTCATCATTCCACACTTTGTAACGGTTATTATTATTTATCTCTTAGTTCTTAGTCATTATTCTAACAATTTCATTTTACTTTATATTTATTTTTATTTTTTACCATCACTACTTATGTTTCTCATACCTTGTTATCTGGTTATTTTCTTAGCCCTGATGAAGGCCTGAACTTCAGGTCGAAACGTCGGCATATGTAAAAATAAATATTATCATTTATTTTTGCCTTCTTTTTTGACTGACTACCCCAACTATTCTTCTCTTCTTTATAATTGACTTGTTTTAATTTCATTTGTTTCTTTTGTGATGTAAAAACTATATGCGAACCAGGGGTTAACCTTTTTTAAAAAGTTACATTTTAATAGTTGATGATTTTTGTAAAAAATACTTAAAATTAAAATTTTTAGCGAAAGAAATTTCTGGGTTTATTTTAGAAGTTTAACTTCTGTTTATTTATTTATTTTACAAAAAAGTTATATTAAATTGTAAATAAAAAGTAATTGGCCTTAGACTACAGATGTAATTATCTTGAATGAACTGCCTGATTCATACATTAAGAATCTGATGCACAATTACCATTTTTAGGCATTTTTTATTTGGTGATATGAATTGTTTTAAGTGAAAGTATTCTAATAATAAAAAAAAATATAATACCTTTGGAAGAAATTTCCAACGGTAAAATGTCACTGTTTAAAATTAACACAGAAAATAAAAACAATAAAAAATAAAAGTTCCAGTAATATCGAAACTTATTAAAACTTTAAGTTAACTTTTTTTTTCAAGCTCTGATATAAACTTGAGTTAATTTTTAATTTAAAAGTTAAACATATATTAATAATTTTTTAAAAATTATTACATATATGGTTTTTGAACGTGACATTATTTTATTATAATAGAAATTGATATTATTCCTTAGCTGTATCATCGGTAAACGCAGAATATTGTCATTTTTATTTAAGGAATATAATTCAAGGAAACTTTGGAAATATAATTCATAGTATTATAAGGAGAAATATACAGTTTTTGTTGTTCAATTTAAAATATGTATTACAATGAAATTCGGCGGGGTATTATTTAAAACAGCCTCCAAACTAATAGAATATCGACATAGAATCGATAGTAACGCCTTATGAGCCATTGTAAGAGGCTGGTGACTGCCAGTTTCTTCCCTGCCTCCGTCGGTTCCAGGTCTCACAGAATGGGTTTCGCTAAGGCCTTCTTATTTCTCTGCCTCACTGTGATTGTTTCGTCTGAACCCGTCCAATACAAACCTTGTTACTATACTGGTAAGTAAAATAATAATTTTTAATACACTCTTTGATATGATATAAGAAAATGATTTTTACAAACTTCAATTTTTTTTTTACGTTTAGTTTAATAAATCAGAGCTTAGTTTAGTTTCTATATTTTATTTAATTGCCATCTTTCTAATTATTCTCATACGAATTTTTAAAATTCTATATACCTGTATATGTATTTTATTAGTTATTAGTTTGAGTATATGTGAACGTTTGGGAGATAATTTAAATTTTTAAATGTATTTTTATTGTTTTTATTTCTCAGAATTATAATTTTGAAAACCTTAAATCACCTATTTTTAATTGCTGATGTACAGTTGCTTACTGTATAATTGAAACGCCCCGTAGAAAAATAGAAAAAATACTTAAATGGTTACAATAAACAAATAAAACCAGAAACTCTTCAACAGATGTATTTATAATTTCAATTTAAATACGTACAAACTGAATACAATCAAAATATTTAACTTTGATTATTTAAAAAGAAAAGAAAAGAGAAAACTGAATAATTTTACCTCACAGTCAAAATGATACACTTTAAAGCCATTACTTTCTACAACTCCTTTCAGACTGTTTATAATGTTGCCGACCAAGTTTTTGGTGATTTCGGGCTTGCCCTGTTCCATTCTTCGAGGCACTAGCGGATCAGGATTTAATTTTTTTTTGGGGGGGGGGAAGCTTCAGCCCGAAAGCTTTTTTTTCATAAAAATAAAGATAATTAGTTTGGAAAAAATAAAGAAACTGAATAAATATATGAAATGGTGTTTAAGTGATTCCTAAAGTCCTTTTAAATGTAGTTATATTTAACCATTTTTGGGGAGGGATGGCTTCAGCCCCAAAGCCTCCCCTCCCTCCCGTAGATCCGCTCGTGCTTCGAAGAGATAGTTTAATAATTCTTCTATATTAGGAATTTCGTGTTTTCTAGTTTCTACCTCCAACTTTGTCCACTGGTGTTCTTTCACATTATGATCTGGTAACTGTGGTGGAGTTTTTATAACATTGGGACAGTCTAAAGTAGCAATTCCTTAACTAGCATGACAGAGTGTTTGGGGGAATTTTCTATATAAAACCAGATTTTCGCAATTTTTTCAAGTTTCTTCTCAAAATGTCTATATAAACATGTTTATTCACCTTCCCATATGAAGATTTTCTACACTAAAAGCCGCCGTTCATCCAAACACCAAGAAACAGAACATAAGAAACGAACATAAAACATAAGAACAAAAAAAAGAACATAAGAAAATAACACATTATTTGGATGATTATTGACTATAATAAATTATTGTTTTCAATTAAATATAAATTGAATTATTTATTCATTCAATAGTTTCTATCAATATCTAGGTGTGTTATTTCGACTGTGAGGCACCATAATTGTTGTATTATCCTTTTTCTTCTTTTATTACTTCCTTTCCCATTTTCATTATCTGTATTAATGCTTTCAGGAGACATATAAGCATATAAATTCATCTACGTGGAATAGAAATAATAAATTTTGAATGATGTCTATGTTTGCTCCGTGTATGTTTGCTTATGAATTAACATACAATCTGTACTCAGCTGTTCTATGTTATTTAATTATGGTAAACGTTTTTCAAACTACACAGACGGATCTACTAGGAGTGGGGAATTTTGGGCTAAAGGCCTCCCTCAAAATATTTCCTCCTGAGTTATTAAAAATAATAGTTCTCTAGTTATGGAACATTTACATTTGAGTATTTCATTACGACAATTTGGTCTACATTTCATTGTAACTGACGATTCGTTCGATGAACTGATCGAATTGACAATTAACCTAGTCTGAATAAATTAGCTACTAATTTGTTATTATTTATTTATATAGCTCTTTATTATTTATTTTATACTATATTTTCATTATTCTTCGTTATCCAACATTTACATTAGGGTTGTTTACCGTTCGGGATATCATATTTCAGATACCAGAATGGTTTGACTGAGCCTCACAGTCGGATGAAACGGTCTTTTGCTACTAGGTATAGCTAAAAAATAAATTTTGGAAATGGAACTTTTAGCCTATAAAAAAAACCTAAAATAATAATTTTTCATACTTTTAACTTAAACGTATTTATATTTAAATGAGTAATACGTAACTTTACTGTAATGTAATGTATATATTGCATTTTTTGACGGAAAAAATAATTAAACTTTTTTTGTATACTTTTATACCGTATTTACTAGAGATATTTAACAGGAAATATTTCGTACAATAATACATTTTTCATCCCGACTGTGTTTTTTTAAAGTTTAATTTAGTTATTATATATTTTTTTACTTTTGAAAAATGTTAAAATTTGTTTGTGAATTCGATTAGATGTCATTAAACAACTATGAAAGGATCCGGCTTTTCATGATGTTATTTTCCCTTTCTCAATATCAATGTACTTTATACACAAAAGGTGCATTCTTTGCTCTTTTTTGTTTTTTTTTTTAAAAGAAAGTATATTATATATTTTTCACATTATTTTTTTTAAAAGATATTTGTTCTATCGTATACCTCTATTTTCAAAATAATTTTCTATTATTAAGAAAATTAAGGAGTTACGGAACATTAAAGATAATGTAAAACTGTTCGATATAAAAAAAGAACAAAAAAAAATTGTTTTCAGGTTATTCATCAATAACATGTTAACGATAGCAATTTACTTATTAATTTACATATTTCTCTGTTCTAAAATTAAAACAGATAATACTTATCGTACAGTAATAATCAACTGATGTCAATCTCTTAAAAAAAAATTATCAATATTGAAATCATGAACGATAATTTATATCAATGATAATTTTTTTTTTTTAAGAATATTAAAGTAACATTAGCTACAACTTAATGATAAAACTACAGAAAGATTTAATTGATCACAGACAGTTGAAAAGTAGTGTTACATGGTTGCTTTTTAATTAAGTTTTTATAACATTCAGAAATATCTAATTTACCCAGTTAACGAATTAAAAAAGATAATGGTTACTTAGATAATTAAATAGTTGCAATATTTAATCGATATTACAGATAAAAGCCAATTGTTTGGAAAAATTCATGGTTCATCTTTATGAATTATTTCTGGAAGGCGTGTTTTTGCCTGTACGCAATATCTTCGTGAATATATGATAAAAACTAATTGTTGTACCATCCTTCTGAAGGTTAATATCCCCGGTAATGCTTAGAAATAAATGCATGGCCTATAAATAACAAAAAAAAAAAACAAATAAAACTTTATTGCGGATAAACATAACATCAACAATTGATTAAACTTCACAAAAAACCTGAGGAAAAAAACAAAACAAGAATCATACCGTTCTTAGTGAAGATCAAGTCTATTGAGCTTTGTATAGGTACATATTTTGGTTTATCATTTTTAAAAATGAATCTTTATAATCTACCAAGAAATCATGAAATTGATAAAATTTCGAGGTTTTATGTCAGAAAATAAGGAAATATCCTGCAATCGCTTACATCTAAATCAATATATTTTTTAAAAAACACCGCGGATTATCTTCGAAACTACAGACCAATTTTTTTTTCTTTTAAAATTTGGTATCCAAGTCACAGGCCACGCAGAGATGACCCTCAGAATTTGTAGATAGTTTAATTGTCCTTTAAATTAATAACTGGAATGGGAGATGCATAGTTTCCGTACTGTTTGAAATACTAAAGAAAAGTGGACGGTTTTTAGAGGAACTTGAGCAGTTTATTTATACACTGTGTGCCTTAAATAACGGGAAATACTTAAAGAGATAATAGTAGACCTCAAGGGTAACAAAATGTCCATGTAGATCATACTTGCATGTATTTCATTCAGAAAAACAAAACAGATTTATATTTTATGTTATGCGTCTCATTTTTGTTGAGGAGGAAGCGAAAACTAATGAATTACAACAATTAAGTAATTACCAATTGCAGCATAATAAATTAGGGACAAATTTCTTTGCGCTCAAGTAGAATTTTCATTTTTAAAACATTTCAACAGAGCTTTCAACCAGTCTATTAGACTGGTTTATAACTTATTTAACAATTATTAAGTCCATATTAATTAAGTTCAGGTTTGTTTCTAAATAACCTGAAATTCATTTAATTAAAAAAAAAACTCAAATGATGTAAAATTCTATCTCCATAAAGTACCAGTATTTTAAATAAAAATAATGACTAAAAATTAGAATGCTGTAAATAAAGACTATATAATTACTTATGTTATCTTTTTTAATTAAGTAATTTTTCACTATTGTGATTTTCCTTGTCCTAAATGTCATTTAGAATATTTTTCCATAGTTATCGATATATGTCCCCTCAGGCTTTCTTCCATTTTATCTTACCATTTTACCTTAGGTGTCTCTTTTTTTCCTCCTTCCTTATTATTTTAACGTATACCAACCATTTTTTTTTTCTTCAATAGCTGCTAGAATGTTTTTTTTTCACCTCAAACAGTTCCAGAATTCTTTAATTTTTTCATTTATTTTATTATTTTTCTACGCCTTAGAATATATTATTACAAATTATTAACTACAATGACTTTTTATATTAAAAAAGCAAGCATTTTAAAATTATGCGGATGCTAATTGCGGATCCATCAATAATCGGAAATCTTCATACTATCAGATAAAGAGGACATCAATATAAATTTAATAATCTAAATAGCTTATTAGTATTGCTTAAGATACTTGAAAATATGAATTCAACTTATTGCTTGAATTATTTTCAGAAAAACGTTAATATTTTAGAAATAGGCATACAAAACAAGGATCATTTCATTGAACACATGATACTAAAATAATTTTAACATATTTTTTTTATAAATAAAAAGATTATTTTAAAAATTAATTTGAGATAAATGTAAAACATAAAAGCTTTTCAATAATGTGTTGTAAATGGTTTTTACTGACCGCTCAAAATTTTCATATCCAAATCAAAGCTCCTGTGGAATCAAGTATATCGTATATGTTATCAGAAGTATACAATATACCATAAGTGTATAATA